GGGGGGGGGGGATGGGACAAGTTATAGCTTGTGGGGGGGAGGGGAACACAAGCCATTGGGTGCATGGGGAGGCCATAGCGTGGGGGGTGGGAAGAGTGGCCAGGCCAAACACACCAGGGCCTAGGCCTGCCCATGGGTGCTGGGGCTCCCTAGGGCCCGGGGTTTGGCTGGAGCAGGAGGGGCAGGAGCTGCGGCTCTCACAGCTGCCCAAGGGAGCCCCCTTGCTTGGGGCCCTTCCCTGTCCCTGGGGATCGCTGCTGGGAGCAATGCAGGGCGAGCAGCGCCATCAGGACCCAGCCAGTCTTTCTCCAGCTGGCAGTGCCTGGGTGCTGCCCCTGCAGGTCATGGTCCAGACCCCCCCCCAGGGCACCCACACAGGCCCAGGGACGCTGCCCTCCCTTCCTAGCCAGCTCCCCATCATGGCCCTCCCTGTGAGCACCAGCTAGCAGCCAAGCAGGGCCCTTAAAGCTGCAGGATCCCTTAACCACGAACAAGCTCAGTTTGGAGGTGTCTGCCATGTTGTCCCCCCCACCCCACCCGGCTTTGCCCTTTCTCCCCAGGCTGTGGGCACATGCACAGTGCGGGGTCTCTGATGCCCAAGGTCTCCCAGGGTCACATGTGGCACCATTTAGCGCCTGAGTGAAGGAGCACAGAGGTGAGTCATCGCCTAGCCCAGCCCAGCCCCCCACCCCTCTGAAACATCAGGGGCTGGTGCCTGCTGGCGTGTTGGAGCTACAGTCTGAGGTGGGGCAGCAAATGCTGTGGGGCTGTCACAGCCACGAGAGCATGGGAGGACCTGCAGGGCGAGGCTGAGATCCCCCCAGGCCCAGCCCCGCCCGTCCCCTGCATTTCCACTGGGTTCCAGGCTCAGCATTCCCGAACCGTAAGGCGAAAAGCTGCAGCCACCGGGAGCCAGGCTGAGCCCCTCTGCCGGAGGGGAGGGGGCTCCTACCTCAGCGACCTGGTGCACTCACCACAGCTGGGACTTGGGTTTTGTTTCCCACTGGCCCGTGGCAGGCGCCTGGCGCGTGTGCGCTCAGATCTGCGTGTGCACCCCAGCGCTGCGCGGAGTTAGACCAAAGGGCTGCCGGGGCTGGATCGGGGGGGTCGGTTTGGGGGATGAGGCTTTGCATGAAATCCCAGGAGATTTCAGCCGCGGCCGACCCAGAAAACAGCCCATTCCGATCCAGCCCCCGACTCAGACCTGGCAGCAGGAGCAGAGGGTCAGTTCTCCGGGCGGGAATGGGGGTTGTAAAATGCTGGGCACCCTCAATGGCACGCCGTGAACAGTGGGGGGGTGTCTGTGTGTGCCCATGCGTTTGTGTGCACACGTGTGGGGGTGCAGGCCCGTGTCTGTGCATGCAGAAAGTATCCCTGGGATCAGTCAGATTTACTCCAGCACGGGGAACATGAGCTCTCCCCACTGCGGAGGCCAAGCTGTCCAATGGGTAAGTTAGTACTTCATTGCCGAGGCTGGGCTGGTACCAGTCCCTGCACCCCGTCTCCCTGGAGCGTCCCCCAACATTCCCGGCCAGGGCCACACAGAGACAACATACAAAAATATAGAAAAAGATCTGCTCTCGCGCTCCCCTCAACTCAGCCCGTGCCCCCTCGTCCCACCCTCCCCCACTGCGGGGAGTCCCAGCAGAGACGGCGATTCCTGTCCGGCTCCGCCCCGACAAACCTGCTCTGCCCTCGGCCGTCTCCTTGGCTCGGTCCACGATATAAAACCCAGTACGATAAAAGCAAAGAGCTGGTTTTGTGCCAAAGGGTTGAAAAACGACCTCCCATGTCAAGTACAGAGCAGCCCAACACACTGCGCCTTGGCACCGGCTCTGAGCCGGGGCTTGGGGGGCCAGGGCAGGGGGTTAATCTGCGTTAGGAACAGACACGTGTTGCTTTAACAGCACTAGCCATGCCACCCGGACAGCGAAAGGCGCCTCCCCAGGGGTTCGGAGGCAGGGTGCAGGACATGCTCAGAGCCGTCCCAGATGGCGTCAGGTCCAGTCGGCTCCGATTTAGGGGGTTTTGTTTTCCCCAAAACACTCTCATGCAAAAAAACAGACGAGGGGAGAGAGAGAGAGACGCAGCAAGCAAATCCATCCGGCGGCCGGCCGCGAGGCCTCAGGCTTCAACAGTCCTCCGCCAGTGGGGGTGCTGGATTTTCCTTCCACCATCCTCCTGCCCGGCTAAGGCTCACGCCATCCCCAGACAGGACTCGCCCACAAGGAGAACAGATGGCTCTGGGAACGGGGCCCGGAGGGGGGAGGGGGGTGGCACGGAGTGGGACAGAGATGGCAGGTGAAGCATGCCACAGACCAAGCCCAGTTCACTGCTCTTCAGCCTCCTCCTCCTCTTCCTCATCCAGTGACACCACCCCCGACGAGGCCACGTCGGAGACTTTCCTCCTGACCCCGCAGCTGTCCCCGTGCAGCTTGCACGCCGTGTGGAAGTCCTTGCAGGGCAGGCTGTCGTCCTCCGTGGGCGAGAGGCAGGACTCCGTGCAGGACATGGAGTACATGGAGTCCTGGCACTCCAGCTGTCCCAGGCTCCGGAAGGCACTTTCTCCAGTCTGAGGGAGCAGCTCCTCCCCTCCGGCCAGGGAGCCCAGCAGCTTGGCGGCCAGTTCGCCCGGCGAGCCCAGCTCCTTGAGCAGTAGCCCGTCCTCCAGGCTGCACAGACTGGAGCACAGGGTCTCCGGGGAGATGGTCTGGGAGGAGTCGCTCTCGGGCTCGCAGGAGCCCTGCCGGACGCTGAGCTGGCACAGACGGCTGTGGAGGAGATCCTTCAGGAAGGAGCCGGGCGGCAGCTGGCCTGCAGGATCTGCAACACACAACGGGGGAACTGGCTTCAGCAGCACGGCTTCCCCCTCCCGGCCTGGCCTCCCTCTCTCCCCACAGCGCCACGGGCACTGGGGGGGAGTATCCTGGCAGCCGGCTAGGCAGTGCCAGGCCTCCTGCATGCGCCCGAGGGGAGAAGTGGATTAAAGCGGGTCTTCCCCCCCACACACCTTGGCTGCTTCCCCCGGCCCTTTCGCTCCCCCTCCCCACATGGCCCCCAAGGAGGGATCTTTCTGTCCCACGCACTGTCGCCTCCTCTCCCATTAGCTTTAGAGACGCCCTCCCCTGCTCCAGCCCGGCTGCCTCTGTCTCTCAACCACAGCCGCCTGCAGCCCCTCTTGCAAACAGCTGAGAGGTGGTACCAGCTGCAGCCAAGCGGTGGGTGAGGGAGGGAGCTGCTGCCAAGACAGGAGCAGCGCATCGTGCACCCAGGACATTGACCAGGCCAGCAGTCGCCCCGGACGGACGGGACTGCTGGCAGCTGTGGGCATCCAGCCAAGTAGCTGTGTCACTGGGAACATGAAGGGTGGAGAGCCAGGAAGTGACAGCATTACGGCTGACCCACGCCTGGGCTGGACTCCCCCCGCCCCGAGCAAGGCCTGGCCGTTGGAGATCCCACAATGGCTAGAATAACGCCACAGGCCCAGCCCCTGGGAAGCAACTTGTAGAAAAGGGTGACTCAAGGAAATGCAACAGAAACAAACGCATCCCAATGACCTGAGCATGGGCTAGAGGCCAGGCTGGGCCCCAGCCCCACAGGGCCTTTCAGCCCCAGTGAATACTGCGCTCCTGGGCATCCTCTGACCCGAGCCAAAGCCCTGCTCTCCTGCAAGGACTAAGGTCCCGGTTCTGGGCAGTGCCCAGCACGCTGGGTGCACAGCGCCTTGGGAAATCTGCCCCTGAGCGTCCCCGTGGGAGCTGTGGGGCACAGCAGGAACCCTGGCCCTAAGCTGGGTGCCCCAGGGGAGCTGCAAATCAGAGCCTCCGAGCGGAGGAGTATCCCGGCTCACTTGGCAAGAGGCCCTCCAGCTTCCCCAGCACAGAGACTCCCCTTCTCTTGCCCCTGTTGCCTCTGCCTGGCTCCCTCCACCGCTCTCCCCACCCCTCCGCATTGGCCCTGCACCCCAGTTTCGGCAGCTCAGCGATGCCTGGCTGGCCCCATGGAGAGGCAGCTTGGAAGGCCCCTTCGGGGGAGGCCACGTCCAGGAGCGAAGGGGCAGGTCGCAGCACTGGCTCTGACACGCACGTTCTGGGGGGCTGTGGGCCAGGTCACCCCACAGCAGCACTCTCAGAGCTCAGGGGTGCTGGCGGAGCTGTGTGGGGGGAGCTCAGGGGCTCTGGGGGT